TGGAGCAAATCTCAGATCAATATCAGAACTTGTTATTAAAGAGATTAGCTGCTTTGTGACATTGCTGAATGAAGTGAGAATAAATGGTCACCATATTTTGCTGCTCTTGTTGTTGTTGGAAGAAAGGTTAAATTAGACACCTGAGACACAGCCTTCATACTCTGCCACTGGTTATGGGGGGAATTCATAATATTTTCCTACTAACATTTTAAGAATTTGTCAGGCTTCTCTGAGAAACCAAGAAAAGAGCTAAATGAAATCTAGAGTGGGGAGGGAGGATACTTCTGTAAAAGTGAGTTTTAAACCCACAAACTGTCAATGGAACACTTGAGAGATTGATTATTTCTATGTTCTCTGGTCTAAAATATATGCTTCCCCGATGTGCCTTGGTGGCTTGTGAATCATTGAAGGTAACTTTTCAAATTAATGGTTTTCTGGAGAATTCTACATTCAAATCCTCATCTCCAATGTAGCAAAGTTCTGAGATATAAACTTTAAAGATTTACTACATTTTTGTTTCTAATCTCTCTTTTCTCAGCATTAAACTTTTATCTCTAGAGAGAGGTTCCAGTTGTTTAAAAAAAGGAAATCACACCCAATGAAGTCGCTGAAATGATATTCTTAAAGAGAAAAATACTAGTTTACTGGAGTTGAGAGTTTTCCCATAACATATCAGAATGCATATTATTTTATTCATTAGAGTTCAATATCTCTGAGGTACAATAAGATAAGAGCCAAGGAGTATTGTTAAGGGAACTCTTATATTTAGTGAACAGTAAAGAAGTGGTTTAACTTATTGATAACACCGGCTCCCCACAGGCATCATAATCTTGATTGCCAAGATGTGTTGGGCTTGTTGTTGTTGTTGTTGTTGTTGGTGGTGGTGGTTGTGCGAGAATATGTCTGTGTGTGCTTTGTTGTATTAGAGTTCTTAATTTTCTGTTACTGAATTCCCCACTCTTTTATAGGGGCACAATTCCTGGGTTGGGGTTATCTCTCATTTCTAAGCTTCCAGATGTTAACAGAGGCAAAACACAAGGAAGAAGAGTTCCCATATTTCCAAATGAAATGAGGCAGAACAAATGAAAGAGAATCCCTTAGCTTGCTCAGAGAACTGAAAGGGTACATTACAAAGAGGTATAGCTATGCTTGTGCAAACACAGTTACTCATGTCAAATAAATTGTACTTCTGCCAGAAAGAACTCCAGCTCAGGGTTTTCCAAGCTAAATTGCATGAAAACACACAATCCTTTTTCTTCTTATTTGAACTGTTAGATGACGGGGCCAAATTACCAGAAAGACCAAAGGCAGTTTGCAACCTTCAACAACTGAAAGGACTTATTGCTTTCAGTTTGGAAACACAAAAGATTCTGTGTCCACTCTAAGGACTCCCAGGTCATATGCATTTCCCATTAGATGTGTAAAGAAAGCATGCACTTAAGTAAAAAGTATATCAAAACTTTCTGATATTTCAATAATGGAGAATATATTGTCTAAAGATGAGAAAGGAGTTTGTTTTGACAGGTCTTAAAGAAACATGGACAATTCATTCATCCATTCTCATTCTCTGTCTGTCTGTCTGTCTCTCTCTCTCTCTCTCTCTCATCAAATGTGGCCCCATTGTCCTTGGCCCCATAGTGCCATTCAGGCCTACTGGACTGGCAGGAATTATTTTACAGATTCAATCAAAAGCCATTAAGTCTGTAAAGATAGTTAAGCACTGTTCCCCAGCACTACATTGGAGAGCCCAAGGGAGGTAATGCATATATTTTCAATACCTGAGGACATTTTGTTTCCTACCTTAATTGCACTTATATATTGCTTTGGGGTAAAATATCTCCACTCATCTTGCTCCTGTTTCTATTATTCCACTATTAATATGAAGCTTAGGAAACATAATTGCAGTGTGTGGTAGACAGTGATTTTCATTAACTACACAGAAAACTGTTTAGGGAGAGACATTTCTTTCTTATTGATTCAATCAAAATTACTTGGAAGAAAAGGTTGTGCTTATTAAATTCTTTTCATAAAGGTAACTTAAAATTTAAATTTTTTCTCAACAGCATTTAGAGAACCTGGTATATAATATCTTCTGATTTTATCATTTATGGATTTTGCCTAGTTCCTTTGAAAAATGTAACTTTTATTTGCTTCATTTTTTTAAAGTAGAGAAAGGAAGATTTTTACTTGCAAGTAAAGAATGTAATCAACAATGCTCTCTATAAGACATGGAGTTGCCTAGCAATGCTAAGGGAATTTAAAGGGGGAAATAATAACAGAACAGAATGTTGTGAAATTACAAGAGAGTGTACTGTTAAATTGGATTGTAATATTTATCAAGAGGCCTTTAAATTAGAACAGATATAATAAGATTTTCTAGCAAGCATTATAAAATTGGCTGATGATTTCTTAAACTTCTTTTTATTTAGAACAGTTCACCCAATGGGATTCTGCTATTTTGAGTTCATGACTAGGCAAAATCTAGGACAGAGACATCTGAGAATAAATCATAAAGCCCCAACTGGAACTTGAATCCTTTCTAGCTGGACTAATTGAGGGTAAGATATATCAACTTTTCATATTCTGACATTGTTTTGCAGGCTATCGCTTGTATGGTAGGTCGCTGGTCTCTGTTTTCAGTCCTCCCCTGAATTTTTCATGGTAAGATAAGTGAGTCTGTTATTGTGTCTTACTTAACCTCTCCCAACAAGTGGATATACCTAGGTCTCTCCTAGATCTCAACCTTGGTAGCACAAAATTAGAAACCTGACAGCAAGATTTGATTTGTACTTTTTATTTTCCTTTCTTTCAAGAAGAATCCTTCCTTCAAGAACAAAAGTATATCTGGATCCTGGGAATGTCTCTATAACTTTGAGTGTTATAAATGGTTGCCTAATGGTGCAAAAACCAATATCGAATAAGAAACTGGCTCTTACAGAGATGGCAGAAACAGCCATAAATAAAGAAATTCAAATGGAATATGTGTAGAACTACATCCTTAGGAAACTGAAATCCTAAATAGATGCATAATGAAAAATGATAAGCCTTGTGCAGAAATTCATCCTCATGTTAGCAAGAGGACTTGTGGATGTTTTGATCGGGAAGGACAACATTTGAATATGTAGGAAAAAGTGGCTTGTAGTGTGGAAGAATGCACCTGAAGTCAACATAAGAAAATCTGGTTCCTAGAAACAAGTTATGCTTTGAACTATTTGTACCTCTTGGACTTCAAGATTTTTAATGTATAAAATAGGGTTAGTAGATTATCACTAAAGTCTATTTCAGTTCTCACATTACATTCCATGATTATAAGGTTGTGGTATGAAGAACAACATTTCTAAGACAGGTACCCTTTTTTCTTCCTCATACAACTGTGATTCAAATCTAGAGTAAATAGGAAATTACGATAGGGATTTGGGACATTTACCTTTCAAAGCTTTGAATTTCTGTGGCAATCTCCTGTATTGATATTTACTGAAGTTCTTACACCAGACTTCTAGTTCTTATTTTTGTGACCATTATTCCAGAACCAGGCTTTCTTTTCTTTCACCAGAGTTATCCAGATCTCACTTCCCACTCTTGCTTCTCCATTCCATTCCAAACACTCCTGTCAGACCCAACCTTTGAGATGAAGCTCCAGCCATGGTACTTACACACCAATGTAATCAGTCCCCACCACTAAAACAACCCTAAAATTAGTGAAGCTCATCTTACTCTTCCATGCCTTTGATTAAATTACATTTTCTTTCTATAAGTTGTTGCTCTCCTGTATTAATTTTACATCTCATCCAAAATAAATTTTTTGCTTGACACATATTAAACTTTTTTTCATTAGCTAATATTTGTAACTTTAAGACCACTGGGACTCCTCTCGCTTCCCTAAAGGGTAGCATCATTTCTGTACACATGGATTCCACATTTATCAATACTCTTTTCACATACTATCACTTCTACAACACCTTTCCTAAAAGTCTTACTTACATGTGACCTTTTCTATAGCATCATATACCTCTCTTTGGACATTTCCCCTAACTCCATCGATGCTGTACTTATTGGTGTGTTTGTCTTATTCTCTTCCATGGGTGTGAAGCTCACCCACTTGTCTATCTCTGAATACTCAGCAAGGTCGAACTTAGTGTACTGGGTGTCATTGCTATGCACACTGTTAATATACTGTTAATAATTTTACTGAGGCTTCCTGACTTACTCAATATCTAATCTGTTGCAAGGTGGCCAAATCAGAACTAATAAAATCAACTATCTAGGCTAAGACCAAACTGGATCCGATTGAAAGTTTTAAAGCATAAACTCTCTGTCATACACTAAAATATAAGAAATTATACATTTTAAAGATTTTGAGTTGAAAGATCTTGCATTGGGATCCCAAATATATTGTGAGTGCTCGCTCAATAATCATTAACTAGCACGATCGTAATTCTCATCATCACTACTTATCAGTTAACTACCCAAACTTATAAAGATGGCCCTGAAATTCTTTCATATTGGAGATCCTGCCAGAATACAGTGATTTAATTTGGGACCTTCAACATACAGATATCAAAAAAACTTCTGAGGACTCAGGACAGCACCAGCTATAAAGAATAAAGTACCAAAGAATAAGATCTAGGAGTAAGACTTTAAGGAATTGAAATTACGGAGCTTAAATGGTGTTCGATAAAAGATTTAATATTTGTCTCAAAATATTTAAAATTCTAAAAATGAAAACAGTAACTGCCTGGTTTTATTTCCAGTGATAATATTAACTTATACACAATGGTAAGTGCTTAAAGTTATATAAAGTAAGAAAAATGCCTTCCATATTGGAACAGACTACCAAGGGAGATTTGGAGTCATTTAAAGATAAGACTGAATTGTTTATGTGTGGAATGATATCAATACAATCTCATTCCAATGATGTGGTCTCAAGTCTTTTCCAGACTTGTAACAAGTTGAACCTGTGGGGGTCTCCCAGGGCTTCTCCCAAAGCACCACACTCTTACCTGAACTCTCGTCTAGACTCTCCTCAGACACGTGCTCATTTTGGTGGACCCATTCGCCATTGCATTTGAAGAATATCTGCATGGCTGGCCTTGCTTTGCACCTGAGTGCAATGGGATTGCTCTTGATGATATAAGCATCATCTGGCTCCTCTATGAAATGAGGCAATGTCCCGGGAGCTGAGGGGATGGATTCAGGAAGAGCTTCGCCATTGTCGGTTCCTGCAAGATTGAAGATGACATCAGGATACAGTCTATACTGACAGCTCATAAATGTGAACACTATGCTGGAACCACACCAGGTCTAAGAATTTGGTCTGAGAACTGTTCATCATGTGAACACAGCATGCTTGTAAGCTCTGCACAGAGCTACTATTTTCTAGAAGCTAAACTGGCATAATATGGTACCTCTAGGTGGACATAACTTTATTTGTTGAACAAAGTATAATAATGAATATGAGAACCCTCAAACTTGAGTGTCTTCAGAAAGAACTGAGGTAAATATTTGTGGAGCTTGAAGCTGAATATCAAAATTCACTCTGGTGAGTGGTTATGCCAGAGGTTTCAATGCAGACTTCAAACTGCCTCAAAACCTTGAAAGTGTGGAGAGATAGATATTGTCCTACCGCAGATGTGTGTGAAAGACTGCAAAGATGGTGGAGAGAAGCCAGAAGATGGTCCACAAATTACAAATTGTGTTTTTCTAATCTATGACATTGGAGATTGTCGGACATCTCACCTGGGACAACTCATCAACTAACTACCCCTTCAAATGGAATGTGAACTCATTCTGCCTGCCTATGGCCACACTCTGCCCCAAGCACTTGTCCATCAAATACTATGGGTTGGAATTTCCAAGGCTGAAACTAAAACCAACCACTGAAATAGGTCTGATTGTGCCATTATTAGCTATGGTGACATGTGTCTCAAGGGAGGGAATAGATATGGTTCTCCCTTAACTCTGATTAACTGCCAAAGCATCATAAAAAATAAAGCCCCAGTCAAGGTTTTGTTTCCTTGAGCAAGGGTTAAAAGGAGTGAGTGCTGAGCAAGGAGAGGGTGGCCTGAGGCAGAAGTATTTTATAATGTCCAAATCACTGCACTGAAAGATTGAAGAAAGCAAAGATTTCAAAATCAAGATCATCTCTATGCTGGGTAAGGTTTTTCCCATTGAGGTCAAAGCAACTTTACAACTAACCTGAGGAAAATGAACTACTGAGGTACTAGAAGAAGCATGCTCCTCATCAGATTCACTTCCCAGGAGAGAGCCTGGCTTTCTGCATGCCCTCAATGAAAATGTGAACAGAGCTCCTTGCTATTCATACTTAAGTCAACAACCTGAATGACATTGTCAAAGGTAAACATAATTCATTAATAATAGGGGCAGTGTTGTCTTCTAAGAACCTTTATGAGGAATTCTCAAATATTCAACAAACAAAAAAAAGATGAGGGGAAGAATGGACTTCAACGGGTATTTTGTATAAAGAAGAAAATAAAAGACACTGAGTTATTAAAATGACTCCTTAGTACTGAGAACACACAAGCAAGATTTGCCACTGCAATGAATTAAACATAATAATAGCTAGATTCTCCTAAACAAGATTTTTCCCCATTAAATCCATCAATTTAAGGCAGAGGACAAGAACAGCTGCACATAACAGAATTTAAGGTATTATAAGTCTTGATGCATTTATAATGGAAAAGCTAACTCATGTGTAAGCAATTGAAGTATCAAAAAATCATAAAACAAGTACTCCAAAAAGTAAGGACAAACAATTTATTTCATGAAATTATAATCAAATCACTCAGAAAATATAATGTATATATATTACAGGGAGTAAGAGCAGTTTCAGGATAAAATCTCAAGTGTGTGTGTGTATACGTTTAAAAATATTATATTTAAAATGGACTTCATAAAATATATCCTATATTAATTTATTTTATTACTGTCTGTTCCTGCCAATTTCCAGCTTCAATAAATGCCAAGTCCCAATGGGCTTTTGTAAAGCCATGCACTAGAGGAAATGACAAAGTTATTAAAAGATTTTATATAAGCATCAAATGCTCACACTTCCACCAAGGGCTTGAGCCCTGTCCAAAGTAATTCATTGTTGCATGAAAGGATCATCTGATTAGGAAAATACAGGATTTCCAAACCTGAGATGGTAGACAATGTGAACCACAGACACATATTTTGATTAATGCAATTCTGATTAGCTAGTGGCAGTACATGAATGTGCCCAAAGTAACTATGGTAGAGTGGGAGAGAGAATGAAGTGATCATGATCTCTAAATAAACAGTGAGACCACATTTATTTGTGATAAATAAAATGCCAAAAACAAAGGCCATAGATTACACAGTAAATCAAGTTTTAACTATTCAATTCAAAAAATGGAGAGATCTAAAAGCAATTAGGTTACCCTCCTGTCACTTTAATAAATGCCCTTTATATAAACTAAAAAGTTCATCCTGCATCAGAAACAGCATAAGAATGGAATGGAGGTCTCAGGGTAAATGTCCTGGCTGTTCAAGGACCTCCCTTAGAATCAATCAATCTCAATGTTCAAAGGTCAGAAATAAAAGGTAGGATGTAAAATTGTATTGTAATTATTATTGAAAAAGCGTCAAAACTATGCATGCATATGAAAGGCCTGTAATCCACGTAAACAAGAAACAATTTTAGGATGGCAGTGACAGGGGAGAGATTGTAAGTATACATTGGTAGATGTCCTAACACTTGTCTGAATATTTCTATCAAGTCAATGCAGTAAGTGGGAATGGAGTACAAACTAGTTTCCTCTTGTTTTTGTTTGTAGAGAGAAGTGCTGGGGATGGTGTTTATCTAATATTGACTTCCCTTATGTCCCTCTTCCCCAGGTCCTCACTGGGTGGGACACTAATCCTAGAACAGCAGCACCCTACCTTGGAGCCTGAAGGCAGGACCCCTGAGCTGCCTCTTGGGGAGGATGGACCCTAACTCATTCCACGGGCCAGGATACCTGTCCCTCTGGCCCCAAGAATACCTATCAAATTCAGCCCAGCTTTGTGGCTTGGAACTGAATTCTTCAGAAAATGCTTGGGAGATTTTTCAAGAGAAAAAAAGAAGGGAAGAAATAAGTAATTTGAGCAGGAGTGGGAAGTATTTTAGGGGCTTATAAGTTGCTGACAGATCGTATTCATTGGAAGGGGTTGGTGGAGGAGGTCATCCACCTACAGAATTTTATGTAGAATCACATGAATGCTTTTTTGCTTCCAGGTAAATTTACTTGCAACTCAATACATTTGCCGCCAATTCATAGTTCAGAAAAAAACTTTAAGACTTGGGGTGACAAATGGTGGTGACAGATGCCAGTCAACAGCCTTCCACACATTGCTTTCACAGAAAAGGCTGGAAAAGTCATGCAATTCAGTTGACACCCTAGGAGCTGGCACAAGGAGAGGCTTCTGCTGAAGCTTTGAGGTCCTGATTACAGGTGTGGCCAAAGCTGACACTTCTCCCTTGTTCTTCCCTCAGTGGGGAAATCATGCAGAAAAGTCCAAGAGGAGCACAGAGGCCCTGCACAGACACAGCCGAGATCCCGGACCAACACTACAACACATCTACCCCCAGATACTGGGTTTTTAAAAATTCCTACTTATTTAAAGGCACAGATAGTCAAATTTTCTGTTATTTGTGGCAGGAAACATTCATGATCAATACAGTTGACTCTTCTAACTTAAAAAAACAAAACAAAACAAACAAATAAAATAGAGCTCCAAGCTTTACTTTATAAATCCCAATGCCACCAATAGTCAAGTAAAGTGATTGATAAGCTAAGAAACATGAAAACTATGTTAGGAGAAAGCCAAAATAAAATCTGCCATTTATGGAGTCATTGCAGGTTATGTTTTTCTGTCTTCTATATAGAAGCTTCATGAGAACTGCCTCAGGTAGATACAAAAGTTTCCCATTTTGCATTTGTAGAAATGTTTGGAATATATGTCCTGTCTAATGTGAGATAGCCAGTAAATGGTGGACTTGGAATTTCAAAACAAGTGTCTGACTCAGACCATCTCACAGTTCCATTTCAGTTCATGTGACTGAACCTTTGCAAGACTGGTACTGTCATTTAGTGACTCCCTGCCTTAGGGAAATAGCCAGTAGTTCATAAGACTAAAAGAAGATGATATAAAGGCCACATTATATATGTGGTACCTCAACTTTTCCATTGAGTATGATGTTTATCTCAAAGGTCACTCAGTAATCTTGTCAGCTGGACCGTGAGTGTAGGCCAACATGGCTGTGTATGGACCCAGCCCAAAGAAGGTCTTTAGAAAATATGTATTTGGAAGAAAAGAGCAAGTACTTAGCCAACTATATTCAATTTAACACGACTCCTTGCAAACGTCAGAAACAAAGAAGGTAGGGCTGGGGATGCAGCTCAGTGGTACAATGCTTGCTTATCTAGCAAGCACAAGGCCCTAAGTGAAATTCCCAGCAAGGCAAAAACAAAGCCAAAGAATAATTAATAAAATAATAAAATAATGAGGAAGATTTTTCAACTTATTATTTGGAAACACTTTTTAAAATGCAAGAATATTTAACAACCAAAAGTCTTATTAAAACACAAGAAGTTATAAGAGAAGAGGGTGAACCCCAACAGAAAAATAAAGAAAGCAGACAAGAGCATTGCCACCTTATTAGTTTTAACTAGACAAAACTGCCAATATTTGGGTGTCTGATGTGTTAAACTAGTAACAGAATTGGATATACTTCTGGCCACAGTCAGCACAAATTGGGATTCATAAAATCCTGGACTATCATCCACAGGGTATAGTATAATTGAAGTCTGGCACCAAGAGGTTTGGAAAAAATTTAATGTACTCTTGTTTTCTTGAGAAGATATTTAAATATACTTCATAATTTTCTATTACTACCTCAAAAAGTATGCTTGTCGTTTCACTAGATTGGTACTTGTTACACAGACCAACCAGCAACCATACTATATGGCAAATATTAAATTTTGTGAAACAAAAGAAGATTAGGCTCATATTACCTGACCAAGACTGGCTTCCTTCTTTGATCTTGCATGAACCATCTGATTCAGAGGTTCTATTTTTCTTATCCATAAAAATAGATGCCTAAAATCTATTGGTGTTTTGTAAGGTTACCATGAGATAATATGTGTGAGACATGCATCAAATGATTCAATGTTACATAGCATTATATGCCACCAATCTC